CGACGAGCGGGGCGCGACGCGGCTGGCAGCAGCTGCGCGCGCTAAAAAAAAGAATACGCGCGCGCGTAGCCGAGGCGCGCGCGGGCAGCAGGCTAGGCAGACAAAGGCAGGTAGGACCGTAGGAGATGTAACGTGGTAACGGTGGGCCCAAACTTAGGTCCTAAAGACCTAATCTGCTCTAGATACCATCTTAGACTTAGCATTGGAAGGGATGATGGGACTATCGAGAAAGTTGGGTACAAGTAACAAAACCTATACCCTACATTAGCTACCCCACTAAAGCCTACATTTTATTATAACACATGCATATAATTTGACAGTGGTATGGCTAGAATAAGACTGGAATGGGAGAGGAGTGCTGGAACGCAAGGACAGGGGCGGAAGGGCAGCAAGGGGAAAGAAGTGAGGGCAAATATGGGGCCGGTAAGGAAGTGACAAGATGAACACGAGGGCAGTAAGGGAAGGGTAGGAAGGGGAAGGATGGGTGGGAAGGACAAGAAAGGAAGGGCAATAGGAATGAATGGGAAGGGCATGGATGTAAGGGCAGGATGGGAATGACAGGAATGGCTGGGCAGAAACAGAGATAATGACCAGAGAAATGAAAGGTCGCAAGTGGTTCAAAAGGAATGAGGGCGGTAAAGGAGTGCAGTGAGAGAGGGGTTGCACTGGGTTGGATACACATTGTGGGTGAAGTTTTTTGTCCACCACACGCACTTGCAACCGCACGAGTTGCGCTGGCCTACTTGTCACGAAACTGGAGGGTAGGGGAGGAAACAGTGTGGCACGGAGAGGGAAGGGGAGGGACAGGGTGGCACAGAGAAGGAAGGGGAGGGGCATGAGGGCGTGCAAGGGGGGAAATGAGGGCGTGCAAGGGGGGAAATGAGGGCATGCAAGGGGGGGAATGAGGGCGTGCAAGGGGGGGAATGAGGGCGTGCAAGGGGGGAAATGAGGGCGTGCAAGGGGGGGAATGAGGGCGTGCAAGGGGGGGAATGAGGGCGTGCAAGGTGGGGAATGAGGGCGTGCAAGGGGGGGAATGAGGGCGTGCAAGGGGGGGAATGAGGGCGTGCAAGGGGGGGAATGTCGCGGGTCGAGGAGAGACAGCGATGGGAGGCGAGACGAGGCCCGTCACAAGGGCTACAGGAGGTCACAAGGGGAGGCTAGGCAAGGCCCCGATTCGCGGCGAACGCGGCAAGTGTTAGGCCGCGAAGGGACGCGATTTGAGGCCGCGCTAAGGGACGCGATGAGAGGCTGCAAAGGGAGACGATGACAGCGCGCGACGGGAGGCCAGCGATGTGAGACAGCTTCACTGTGAGGCCGTGACGATGGCGAGACGAGAGTGGTAAGTGGCGGGATGTCAAAATGAGAAATGGATGATGCATTGATGTTGGTTGGGGTACATATAGCTAACCCTAAGTTTTGTACCCCCTAAGACAAACCTCACTATAGGCTACAACATTTGACACACCCCCATAGCCTAAGTGAGGGGTGTCTAGCAGAACCAAACGAGTACGGTCACAAGACCAGTCCAAGAAACGAAGCTCAGGGTGGATCACAACGTCACCACACAGTCTGAGCACAAACAACAGTGGCCACAAGGCCAGTCCAAGAAGTAACAGAGATATATAGAAAGCAAAGTAAACAGTACACTCAAGTCTAAGCAACACGAGAACCAGTGTCAACAAGGCCTAACTGCACACAGCACCTCTGGTGGTCACAAGGCGGAAGCGCCTTGGTGAAGATGTCTGCAGTGTTGGCCTCGGACTCCACAAACTCAAAGCGAGCCTGTCCACGCCTCTGCAACTCTCGCAGAAGAAAGTACCTGACGTGAATGTGCTTCACTCTGCTCTCCAGTCGTGGCTCTCGACAAAGGAGAATAGACGCCTTGTTGTCAGTGAACAAGGTCGGTGCAGAGCTCGGCCGCTCACCAAGGTCGGTGAGCAAGAAGGTCAACCAACGCAGCTCCTGTGCCGCCATGGCACCAGCGTAGATCTCAGCCTCAGCTGTAGAGGTCGAGACCGAAGAGGAGCGCGTGGACCGCCAGGAAACAGCTCCAGAACCCAGGCTGAAACAGTACCCCTGAGTAGACCTGTGAGTCTCAGCGTCGTCAGCGTAAGAGGAGTCACAGTGACCAGTAAGTACGACAGACTGCTGCCCTCCAAGAACTAGCCCCACGCCTGACGTCGTCGCTAGGTACTTCGCCACCCTCACAGCTGCTGTCCAGTGAACAGGACGGTGTCTCCCTGGCGCAACAAAGCGCGCAAGAACGCTGAGAGGGAAGGCGAGGTCCGGGCGAGTACAGGTCATCAGGTACATGAGGCAACCCACAAGCTCTGCGTAGGGACCACTAGGCTCGAACGGCTCGTCAGGAAAGGGTCCAGTGAGTCTGTGGTCAACAGCAAGAGGTGTGCGCTGTACTGTGGAGTGCTGAAGCCCGAACCGCTGAAGGACCTGCTGCACCATGTGTGACTGTGAAAGTGTAATGGTGCGAGCAGCTCTGTCCCTGGTGATCTGCAGGCCAAGGTAGTGGCGCAGCTCACCAAGATCAGTGCAGGTGTGTCTCTTCTGCAGTTCGGACTTCACGTGTGCCAAAGCAACCCTGTCAGGGGTGGCGAAAACAAGGTCGTCAACGTAGACCAGAACAAAGAAAGGTGTGGGGCCACGACGAACGAACAGCGACGGGTCAGCAGAAGACGGCTGGAACCCAAGGTCAGACAGGGTAGAACGCAGGGTGTCGTGCCACTCACGAGGAGCCTGACGAAGACCGTAAACCGGTCGCCTCAGCCTCCACTGGGTCCCAGGAGGGAAAGAGCCAGTGAAGGCAGAGGGACGACGCAACCAGACCTCCTCGTGAAGACTGCCCTGAAGGAAAGCAGTAGAGAAGTCGAGAGAGTGTAACTCGTAGTCTCTCTGTGCTGCTACGTGTAGTAACACCCGAAGAGTGGTCATCTTCGGGGTGGACGCGAAGGTCTGAAAGAAGTCAACTCCCTCGCGCTGACTGAAGCCTCTAGCCACGTAGCGCGCCTTGAAGACCGGAGGAGATCCCGGTGGCCGCTTCACCCTGTAGATCCACATGCCGTCGACTACGTTCGCCCCCGGAGGGGGAACCTCATCGACGTAGGTGCCTGTGGATCTGTAGGAGGCCATCTCTGCGTCCATGGCAGCTCTCCACTGAGAGGCCCAAGGCCCTGACACTGCCTCAGCGTAAGTGCGAAGAGTCGGAATGTCAAGGGTGTCGGGGTCACCCTCAGGGGCGAGGAGCATGGCACAGAGATGAGGGGAAGCGGCCGCCAGGAACTCTAGCTCAAACTGCCTGTCCTCTAGGGCGTCACAGCCAAGGGCAGACACACCCCCGACGGCCAGAGGACTGGAAGGAGGAGCAGCCACAAGAGCGGTGGCGAAGTCAAGGCGGCGGGTAGAGGCAAACTCAGTGACTGCGGCAGTAAGAGCGGACACAGAGGACACAGAGGCACGAGGGTGGGTAACAAGAGAGGCGAGAACACGAGAGAGAACAGGACGGTACGTGCGGTAGTAGTCAGTGACAGGAGAAGGAAGCGACACAGTGAGGGCCGACTCAGGAGGAGACGGAAGCACAGACGGAGACGGACGAGGTGGACGAGAACAAAGGAAGGCTGTACGAAGGTCAGTGAAGGGAACAGGAGACGAGGGACGAGCACGAGGGGAGCTGCCATGGACGCAGAGATGACCTCCTACAGATCCACAGGCACCTACGTCGATGAGGTTCCCCCTCCGGGGGCGAACGTAGTCGACGGCATGTGGATCTACAGGGTGAAGCGGCCACCGGGATCTCCTCCGGTCTTCAAGGCGCGCTACGTGGCTAGAGGCTTCAGTCAGCGCGAGGGAGTTGACTTCTTTCAGACCTTCGCGCCCACCCCGAAGATGACCACTCTTCGGGTGTTACTACACGTAGCAGCACAGAGAGACTACGAGTTACACTCTCTCGACTTCTCTACTGCTTTCCTTCAGGGCAGTCTTCACGAGGAGGTCTGGTTGCGTCGTCCCTCTGCCTTCACTGGCTCTTTCCCTCCTGGGACCCAGTGGAGGCTGAGGCGACCGGTTTACGGTCTTCGTCAGGCTCCTCGTGAGTGGCACGACACCCTGCGTTCTACCCTGTCTGACCTTGGGTTCCAGCCGTCTTCTGCTGACCCGTCGCTGTTCGTTCGTCGTGGCCCCACACCTTTCTTTGTTCTGGTCTACGTTGACGACCTTGTTTTTTTTTTTTATATATATACCAAACGGAGGCTACTGTTGTCAAAATGAGAAATGGATGATGCATTGATGTTGGTTGGGGTACATATAGCTAACCCTAAGTTTTGTACCCCCTAAGACAAACCTCACTATAGGCTACAACATTTGACACGGGATGCCGCGTTTGAAAGCTAGCAGGCGCAGCTAGCGCTTTCTCAAGGTCAAATGCGTGTGATGCGGGAAAAGCGGGTGTGAGAGGCGGAACGGGCGTTACTTGCGCTAGATGTCGAGTGGCGATGTGCATACTCAGGTTTCTGCTGCCTGTTGTGCGTGCGTGGTGGCGTAGTTATCTGAAACACGGGATTCCGTATACTTTTGTCACTTCAAAACTTTTGAATCACGAGCTAGCGCCAGGCGTTGGGGGGATCACCTCCCTTCACGGACGAGGGAGAAGCGCTGTAATAGGGTTACCATTTTTCAGATTTCAAAACTTTTGAAACTCTCATTTGCAAATGTAAACGAAAGCTACTTGTAGGCATAACAATTCTTAATCGAATTAAATGCTTACACTCTACGAAGTCAATCTTCCTAAGTAAGACAAATAATGGGAGCCCGTATAACCGCGAATGCCCTAGTATGTGTCGATGGGGCCCCTCCTACTCCCCTTTGATACCCCTGCGTGACCGACTAGTAGATCCTGCCAATGACATGCTGGTCTCCTAGTCATAAATTGGCGACAGCGAGCGCAACTACAGGGGCGTAATGGTCTAGGCGCGAGAGGCGGGAATGCATGGCTACAAGAGCAGCGCCAGCAGCATGGCACCCCCGATCGTTGAGATCCATTGCACGCTGGCGGTGAATCCTGCACGCGGACGCAAGGAAGATTAATGACAGTGCGACGCGTGAGATAGTGCGAGAAAACACGCATAAAGACACGTAACAGTTTTGGATTGACGCGTGAATCGAACTTAGATCAGCAGGGGAAGCAGGTAAGGGATAGGCACACGAGGAAAAGGAGAGAACGCACGAGCAGGAGATGGATAAGCAGATAGGAATGAGGGAAGGGTGAAAGATAAATTGGACAGGGACGGGAATAACTCACTCGTTGAAGGCTTCATTGGTGGACCGCCAGGGTAAGAAGGAGGGGGAGGCGGAGAAGGAAGCGGCGGGGCCTCGACGACTATGGGCGAGGTTGTGATGGGAGGCGGCGGCGGGGGAGAGGACGGCGGAGCGGCGACACCACCGGCACCGCTGGTAAGAATTCGTCGCCCTTCCTGATCGGCGTCGCTCTGAATGTCCGCGAGCAGGCTCTCCGCGGTTGGCGGAATGAGCAGCCCCTTGATCGAGTGCACCACTGCGCCCTCTTCGAGCGTAATCGCGTTGTACTGCTTCACCGGGTTATTCGCCGCGTAAAACGCGAGCGCGTCCATGCGCAGTTCCACGGGAGAGCCCTCCATGGATGTGTGCTTGCCGTCCCACTGAAACGCCGAAATGTGCTCTGAGACGATGTGGAACATCAGTACCTGCCGGAGCAGGGCTTTATTACGCGGGGCTTTCAGAAACGCGAGCATCGCTGGGGAGATCTGATACATGAGAGCCTCGTTTGTCGGGACGAAGAGAGTCATGTCGCCCGTCTTTAATTTGTTGTGGATCGTGGGGAGTAAATCGGCGGATTCAAGGAGTTTCACAAATCCCGAGAAGCCGGCGGAATTAAGCTGCTCTGCGACGGGGCTTGGGAACGTCGCAGACGGATTCGCTGCAATTGCTGTCGCAACGAGCGCTGCGGCTGTGAATAGGTAGAATAGATGACACCGCCGTATCGTGGCCATGGCGGTTGGCGGGAATGGAAACGTTGCTGCGCGAATGATCGACTACTAATGGCGGAATACTGGATTGAAAAGGCACAAGTTAGAAGAATCAACTTCAGTCGGCTGTTAGGAGTAAGCTTCTCTTGTGGGAGTCGAGAAGCAGAGCGAGCGACATAGGCAAATGGTAAAAAGTGGGAGAGAGACTCTAGCTTCAAGGGTGATCTGCTCGTGTAAAGCCCTCCCCACTACTGTTGTCTGTCCTGCCTACTTGACTAAAATCCCCTGTCCGTTGGCGCCACGACCATGAATTGATTGCACAAACATCGCGCTTCGAAAACAATGCGACCCAGCTTTCCCGTCGATTTCGCAGTGACACATTCCTCCCAGCCATGTCCCGAACCTGGATAGTGACTGTTTGCAACAGGCACATGCCTGCCTTGACAGAACAGCGGCGCCACAGGCGAACGAGATGCGACCCGTCAACTGAAATTGGTACCTGTGCGACAATTTCGTCCGACAATAGACCCTTGAAGTGGTGACAGCCACCAAGACATGTTGCCAAATTTGCGACAGCGGGAAACGTCGCCATACTGCGCTGCGAAAGGCGCACTGAGAAGGCATGGACGTGATGTTCGTGGATGGTCGCAAATCCAGAGCACACCACCCAACCGATACAGACGGTGATGGGTTCGTTGTCATGTCTCCCAGACCAAGACTCCGAACCTGGGATAGCTCCTTGTGCGACACGGCGGTGCTACTCAGCCCTACAAACAACGTTGCCGCGTGTCGCAGCAAGGAGTGGATGGGTCCGTTATGTGTGTCGCAGCAAATCGCAGAACTTGCTGTTGAATATAACCCCTTTACAGACATGCAACGAGTACGATATATAAATCAGAGTGCGATGAATGTCTGTTATGAGTTGTATTGTAGTACAAGAGAGCACGGGTGACTATCTTGTCATACATGACTCAATGTGTCTAGGCAAGTTAAATAGCAAACCATATGTTGCAAACCCCATAACAATTGCAGAAAATGCACACTTCTGTGCAAAACACGAATCACTAAGGGTTCATTCGGACCTGGACATGTCACAAAAGTTCGTGTCACAATCGATTCTACCGCGTTGCAGCGTATCACACCGAGTTACACACAAGTAAGGTATCTAACATTGTCAAAAAAAAATCAAACTTTGGTACAGTTCAGTACGGAGCGGCCATTCAAGTGCATCTACTAACAATATCAAATTTACTGACGCAACCATCAGAGGAGTGTGGAAAAAAGGCAAAAGGGCAAAACAGGACTACGAGTAGGTGGCAGTTCCTCCGTACATGCCGAAATGTAATGGAGCTTGTCTCGTTCGTTCACGACACACGCGTTGAGACAATGCAGAGCTGTATTCGTTCAATATCTTATCTAGCTGTAAGTAGCAGTAGGAGAACAACGCGATGTACCGGGTTGAGGCTTGCTGAAACCATTGCCGCTTACTCAAACACGCTTACTGCTTTGCGCACCATAAGGCCAAGTTCGGTACTCCATGTAGAGATGGCATGACAGAGCATTCAAAACCAGCGGTTTTCCCTACATTCACGTACGTTTAAACAAGGTCAAGAAAACCATTCCATGTCGGTTCCGTCCACACTCTCCTCTAAGACTGCCCAGTCCTCAGTACTCACCAATGGTTTCGTCCAAATCATACTGCCCGAACCCCTGTATTCCCAAACTCTTGTCACGTCAACCCCTTTCCTACCAGCCAGCCTTTTCCTTCCAGCAACTGGCACGGCTGAATGCGTAGTTCTCCCATTAGAGAGATATTGCTTCTGGTGCGAAACACTGGCCACACCTTGCAAGGATTCTTGCAGACTATTCTGCACAACGTCAGAAGCACCGCCGATCACACTCCTTTCTGTCTCTCCCTTCCTACTCCCCTTCTGTCTTTCCCCAACAACCTTTCGCCACATGTCAGGTATGCCTCCACCTCTCCCGTGCATTCTCTGAGTCGATCCACCCACAGACTCCCCATCCCTTCCCTCCTTCCCCATCTTGTTCAACTCATCATCTCTCCCGCCCTTTGCAACTCCTTCCCTGCGAGTTGCATCGGGGGAAGGGGGCGGGCTGTCTTCAATGAACCGAGGGGAGAGATCCACCTGTCTGCCCGTCAAGCTGCCCGTTCTCCTCCGAGTACTGTTCATGCCATCGCCGGCACTGCTCATGTGGAACCACGTCCGCACCCCTTGACTCTTCGAATCTGCTGCGTTGCTCTTCCCGCTGCTGCTGCTGCTGCGGCTGCCGCCGTCAGTGCTGGTAATGCTTCCAATGCTGCTGCTGCTGCTGCTGCTGCTGCCGCCGCTGCTGCCGCCGCTGCTGCTGCTTCTGATGCAGCTGCCAATCTCCTTGCAGCATGCCACTTCTCCTGCAGCGCACCTACCTCTCTGCTGTTCTGAATTCAAGCCACCAGCCACGACTACACCACCCGCCTTTCCCATTCCACCCATCACCTCTCCCTCCCGTACGGCCACAATACTCTGTCCCCTGCAGGCCCCACTCCCTCCCACTTCACTACCGCAAGTATCACTGTTTACCCCACCACTCGGCCCCCCACGACCCTCTGATTCTCTCACCAGTGCAGCCAGGCTCTGAGAGCGCAGCAGAGGGGATGATGCTCCACCGGCAGCAGCAGGATGCAATGACGCAAGGAGAGGGGCTGAAAGCAGCGCCGCATACGGGGACTGGAGAGCAGAGCAAGGCGGCGCAGAGGGAGCGGTCCGTTGGGCAGCATGTGGAGCAGGAAGAGCAGGTTCTGCACTGGCCCAAGTGCCAGGGGAGGAAGAGGGACCGCGAGGACTAGAAGCGGCAGCAGCAGAAGCAGGCGCAGCAGCAGCTAGTGTGCAGGATGGCAGTGCGGGCCTGGGAGGCAGGCGGATATCCAGGCGCACTCTCTGCCCCGCCAGAGCTCCTTGGAAGCTGCTTTCAGCCAGGCGAAACCTGCAGAGAAGAGAAACAAGAAATGAGTTTTCGTTGAGACCTCGAGGAAGGGGGGACGTGCCATGGGGTGATGTGCAAGCAGGGGAAGCGAATAAGCTAATAGAAGCAGGAGAACAAGCAAGCAAGATTAACAGGGCACGGACCTGAGAGTAATAAAGCCAGCAGAGCCACCGGTACCATCGCGACTGCTGCCAGCAGCACCAGCACTACCGGTCCCGCTGCCGCAGAATTGGATTGCATTACCGTCGCCACTGCCGTTTCTGTCCGAGTCTACAAGGCCTTTAGTCAGCATTGCAGCCCCCAACGCATGCACCCACGCATCTTCCTTCACACCGTGCAGCAGAGCTACGAACCGCACTCCCTCCAGCTCGCCACGTGTCATGCCCAGCGTTGCGGCGGCAGCTGAGCTGGCTGCAAGGACTTGTGACGTGGCAGGGTCCAAGAGGAGGAGGGATTCGGGGGAGGCAGCTACTGCTGCGAGAGCAGAAGCCGAAGGGAGGGGGACACTTGTGGGTGCAGTGAAGGTTGAAGTTACACGAGCGGAGGTAGGAGAACTGACCACAATTGATATTCTCGGATGGGATGTGCTACGCTTCCTGCTGTGACCGCTGTTGCTGCTGTAGCTGCTCTTGCTGCTGCTTCTGGTGTTGTTCCTGTGGTCACTGGCAACTGCACAGCTGCCGCTGCCGCTGCTCCCTCTGCTGCTACTGCTACTACTACCACTGCTGCTGCCTCTGCTCACTCCTCCTCCCATCATGGAACGCCGTCCATTCAATGATCTCTCACCACTGCATACTGCACATTCCCCAAGTCCCACACATGCCGCACATGTTGCTACTGCTGCAGCAGCTGAAGCGACCGCAACAGCAGCAGCAGCAGCGGAAGCGGCTCGGTCTCTCGTTTCTGACGCGCTCACCGACCGTCGTAAGAGGCGCAGGAGGGAGAATGGCGACAGGGGAGGCGATGGGAGCGGGGGACGCGCAGGAGTCACACGGCTGAACTCCGCACTGCGATGACCCCTCCTGCTGCTGCTGCTGCTGCTGCTACTGTTGCCACTGCTGATGCTGCCACTGCTGGCGCTGTCACCGCCGCCGCTGCTGCTGCTGCTGCTGCTGCTGCTGCTGCCGACGCCACACTTCCTGCGGTTACCGCTGCTGCCACTACTGCCATTGCCACTTTTCACGTGCCCGTCCAAAATCGACGAAAGAGCCGTGCGAGTCGATTCTACCCCCCGGTGCTGAGCAATACTGCCCTGGGCCACCGCACTGCACCCCTCAGGATCAGAATCAGGATGATTCTGCTTCTCCTCCCGCCCATCCTTCCGCTCAACGTTCCCACCTTCCCCCCCTGCCCCGCCTTCCCCGCCTTCCGCGCCTTCCCCGTCGTCTTCCCCTTCCTCTCCCCTGGTCGCGGGGGGCGGGGTGTCCGCGGCGGCGGCCAGGGCAGCGGCAGCGGAGCGGCGAGCGAGCGAGCGGAGGTGCGCGCTGTCCCCCAGCGACGCGCGCAGCCGCCTTCCCCGCGCCTTCATAGGTGAAACGCCGCGGGAGGCGCGCTCCGCAGCGGGGGCGGAGCTCCTGCTGACGTCACCAGGATTCCCAAGGTTTGGGTTCGCAAAGTTACCCTGGTTCGCGAGGTTACCCGATTTTCCCGGATAACGGGGGCTGTTCGCGCTAGTTGCGGTGGAAAGAACTTCGGTAGTGACGCTGGCAGTGGCTGTAGAGATAGGGCGAGTCGCGGCAGTGGCGGGAGCGTGCGAGAGCCGCTCGCGCTTATTAGGGCGCGGCGGTAGCAGCAGCAGGGAAGCCGGCGACGCGGCAGACCCCAAGGCAGATCCTACCGCGGCACGGCGGTTTGTGACCGTTGCTGTGGCAACGGCGGCGGGCGCGTGAGCGCGGTGCGCACTGCCAGCGGCGGCGGCGGCGGCGGCGGCGGCAGGATGTTGAGACATCTCTAGGAGGAGATTGCGATCAGAACCGACGACGGCTGTGCTAGTAGCAGTAGTAGGAGTCGGGCCGCGGTAAGTCAGTTCCCGCCGCGCCACGTCTACTATAGCCATGAGATCTCTCTTGAGGATCGCGACACGGGGTGCTTATTCCGGTACGAATATGGCGGTTTCCGGCAGAACTACCAGCGACCAGCGTCTGGCTCGAGCGACCAGCGTCTGGCTCGAGCGACCAGCGTCTGGCTCGACCGACATCCGATACAGTCAGGGCCAGGGACTCACGTGGTGGTTTCTGGAATGACATGGAGGCCGATGAAAGAGGGAGTTAAGGTAGGAGTGGTTGAAGTTTAACTTTCGACATGGTGGGATCCGCGCACCCTTGAAGTTGTAACGAGTTTTAGCGCGTCGTAATGAGAGAGAGGGCGCGCAATTCTGTATTCGGAACGAGTCACTGCAGCGGCGAGTATTCGCCGTAGTCATGATTCTGCTCGTTTCCGCTCCCGTCATCGTTCAGGCGGCGTTCGGCTGATCTATCATAAGACGCCGCGATTTCGGTCGGCTGGCCAAAGGTGTTTCTTGCTTTTCACATTTACTGCGTGTGCGAGTTCCGCTGCAGACGAACGCTAAGGGTCACCTAACCACTAATAAACTCCGCCTATGTAACTTGCTTCTATGTTCGAGCGACATGGCAACCGCAACCCGATGGCGTGGGTTTGGTTTGAAAAGTTCCCCACCCCATCGTCCGCATCACATCAGTGCTTTCAACGGTTGAGATTTTAACTCATGACATCGAGCGGTGTAGATTGGAAGAGCTTCGACACACCGACCACTACACCACGAGGCGCAGAACCCTGCTTGCATTTCTCCCAGCATTTTTCTGGTAACCGGCCACCTCAGCTGTTTCCGTATGTTTATTTGCGACAGAGGAGGCTGCGTTAATCCCAAGTGTTTCTTGTTGAAGTGGGGCTGGTATGGTCTTGTATATGTATTTTATCCGACAATGTCGACTGCTTCAGAATCTGTCATCGCTTTCCTTTCTACATAATCTATATAGAAAGTATCCAGTATGGAACGAGGTAACCTGCACGTACTTGACAGCACAAGCTGAATAATATCGCGGACATATTTGTCCATTGCCAGGCTTTCGTAGCATATTCGCCACGTCAAGCATGATTCATGTCGAAATTCTCAGACTGGCGAGCTGTAATTCGCCCACGTCACTCGATGATCGTAGACCTGATAAGATGTCCCTTCGGTTCGATATTACCATTGGTTTCAGCAAAGTTGTGCTCCGCCGCAAATTTCTGCCTTAATTTTCGCGTTGTGTTCGTCGCCAAACCAATCAGCTGTTCAGGGTGGCAAAAGCAATTCGAGCATGCTAAACTCCCTCTAAAGGAACTTTCTTGGGGCTGTACCTTGTCCTAATCCGGATCACACTTAGCCTGCACTTCTGCTTTGGGTAGTCGAAAAGCAAAGAAATACTTGAGTTGAATTTCTATCAACGGGGTCTCATGCACAGAACAATCTCGCATCAGTGCATGACCCGACATCCTTCCCCACAAATTCTTGACTGAGCTGTTTCGCAGACATCCGCCGAACCGTGTCGTAACTGGTAAGCGACTCCAAGCCCAAATCCGAAACATTCCCATCATTCACTCGCATCTTGCCACGTGGATCTTCATCTCGCGTCGTGACACGGGCAACTACCCTTTGGAAATTGTTTAACATCTCGCCCCTCCAGTCGCCCCCCTCCGAAGAAACTCGACCGCAGAGTTTAAAAAACCAGTTTAAGTTTTGCGAGTTTGCCTAGTTTAACTACGGAAGGTTTCGGACTCTGGTGGCAGTTGTCATCAACTTACAAAACACCGCAACATGGCAAAATAGAACAGTTGCAAATATATCACGTTATGGACCGCTGAAGGACACTGGAGGGAGTGACAAAACCAGCCTTTCTGCAAATCTGTGTTTCGACAAAATAGCCCCACCTTATTCAGGTTCCTTTCCCACGCAATCCTGGGGAACTCTGAAAAGGCAGAGTGGGCTGAATCGGAAATAATCCGAAAGTTGCACCTTTCATTCCCAGCGACGAATCACACCGCACCCAAACAAGAACTCAACCCACAGTACCGCAGGTAAACGCATTCCGCCTTTCTCGTTCTATTCAGTCATTTTGTGTGAATTATTGTTGGCACTGAGGTACAATTCATTCACTCATCCACCTCTCTTCCCTCACATTCCCCGTCAAGCGAGGAATGAATTCCCCCCTCAACCTCACTTCTGGCCACTCCCGACTTTGAGTTGTCAGTTCAGAAATCCTCCTCAGCTTCACTTCGTGGAGTTCTTTCCTAAAGCTGCAGCTGTAGTAACCAATTGGGGCTTCTCGTCCAGCTGACGGCCTCAACAGACTATCAGTTTGCGTCAACGCAAGCGGCGTTACGTTAGCAGCCATGCCGACCATCGAGCGTTCCAGCCTCGTGGACGGCTTGTTGCTTCCTGTTAAGGTTGTACCTACGTCTTACCTCTACGACGAGCGCGGCTCGGCCCTGTACGACTCGATCACGCGCCTCCGGCAGTACTATCCGTTCCTGGAGGAGCGCCGGCTGCTGAAACAACACGCAAAGGAGATTGCGCGATTGATCCCGCGCGACGCGGTGGTCGTAGAACTCGGATGCGGGAACGCGCTTAAGACCCGCGTGCTGCTTCAGGCAATTGCCGAATACCATGGGAGGTGAGAATTCGCAGAAATCCATGAAAATCTTAATGAATTCAATAGCGTTTTTTCACACGGCTTCTCAATTGTCTCGTAAATTCGCCAGTAGTACCTCTGCTCGCTGTTTCGGAAATACGATGCTCCAGTCCATTCTTCTCGAAGCGCGAATCGACCCAGAAAAATGTGCCGCCCCATGGTGATGTACGCACGTTTCGTATAAATTCATTAAAGAATGCGCTCAAATTCCTTTCAGCTCTTGAGAACCTTGTCATGGCGTATTCCGAATAAGAGTCTTACGCACCGCCAATCTCACAACCGTGCCGTCGCGTGCTGACCAATCCCCAGGTGCCGCTTCGCGGGCATCGACGTGTCCGAGGCGTTTCTGCTCGAGGCGCGCCGCAACATCTTGGCGGCGGTGCCGCGAATGACGGCGGCTGACGTGGAGCTCGTGCAGAAGGAGTACCTAGACGGGCTGCGCGCCGTGCGGCGGCAGCACCCCGACGCCACGCTCTGCGTGCTCTGGCTCGGCAGCAGCGTCGGTAACATCCCTGGTGAGCGGAGCGCGCGGTGATTAGCGGAGAGCGCGGCTGTGAGCGGAGAGCGCGGTTGTGAGCGGAGAGCACGATGCTGCGAGGAGAGCGTGTGTGGAAGGGGGTATGGTGCTATGCGCCTTCTCACTGGTCGCGCACAGTTCCCACGGTTCGAATTCCCCTTCCCCCACTGCGCCCGTCCCCCTGTCTCCTCCCGCCCCACTTCCCCGTTCCTACTCGCCCCTCCTTCCCCCACCTCCACAATTTCTCGCGTGCTGGCTTGCGTCTCCCCGCAGATGAAGACATTGTAGAGTTCTTCACCACTCTGCACCGCATTGGTGGATCCAACATGCAGCTACTGCTCTGCACTGGTACGTTACACGTACAGTCGTTCCCGTCCGTTCACCGCGCCACCATCTTCCTCCACTAGCGCACGCCCTCCCTCCACTCCATTCCTGCTGCTTTCCTGCTGCTGCTTTCAAAGAGTCTCTCCGAGTCAGACAGCTCGCTGTGCCTCTCGCAGCGTTCATCGTGCCTCTCACGGAGTCTTATTGAGGTGACTCGTAATTAGCCCCCTTTCCCCCACATTGTGAGCCTTCTTGCAGACCTGTGGAAGGACCGTGACGTGTTGCACGGCGCGTACCACGACGACCAGGGCGTCACGGAGGATTTCATCAAGAACGGCGCGCGCAACGCCTTCCAGTCGCTGGGCATGCGCGCTGCTGACGTGGACGAGGCCGCGTGGAAGTACGACGTGGTGGTGAATGGTGACCTGCGACGCGTGGAGATGTGGCTCGAATTCCCGCACTCCATCTCCTTGCCTCACACGCCCGTCTCCATTGGGTGAGCTGCTTCCCACACGTTCTCGTATTCCGGCCCTCCCCAAAGTAACTACAAAAAGAAGAAGGAAAGAGTTGAACAGTGGTTTTCCGCGTTGCAGTGGAGATGATAATAAGACAAACGGGTCAACCGTTTCTCCTTGCCTTTTCCCCTCCATTTTCCCCATGCCTTCCCTTCCCTCTCCCCCTGCCTTTCTTCCTCCCTTTCCCCCCTCCCTCCCTCCCTCCCCTCCCTCTCCTCCCCCCATGCAGTGCGGGCGACCGCGTGCTGATGGAGATCTCGCGCAAGTTCACACCGCAGGACATAGCAGCCCTAGCCAGCAAGTCCGCCATGCTCCTGCACGCCGCGTGGCGCTCGCCACTCTACGGCATGCAGCTGCTGCTGCCGCAGACGCACGCGCTGCTCGAGTGCTGGCGCGACGCCGATGCCTTCTTTGACGCTCTGGATGATTGGAATGTCAAGCCGATCGAGTTCCGCCATCCGTTCTGCTTCTACTAGTGAGTAAACTTGTGAGGCGCCTTAAAAGACGCACGCACTGCTCGAGTGCTGGCGCGACGCCGATGCCTTCTTTGACTCCCTGCCTGACTGGAGCGCCAAGCCGATTGAGTTCCGCCATCCGTTCTGCTTCTACTAGTGAGTACACTTGTGACGCGCCTCAGCAGACGCACGCGCTGCTCGAGTGCTGGCGCGACGCCGATGCCTTCTTCGACGCTCTGGAGGACTGGAACGTCAAGCCGATTGAGTTCCGCCATCCGTTCTGCTTCTACTAGTGAGTACACTTGTGACGCGCCTCAGCAGACGCACGCGCTGCTCGAGTGCTGGCGCGACGCCGATGCCTTCTTCGACGCTCTGGAGGACTGGAACGTCAAGCCGATTGAGTTCCGCCATCCGTTCTGCTTCTACTAGTGAGTTCCGGAGTGATGATGTGGTGGTGATGTGGTGTGGTGTGGTGTGGTGTGGTGGGATGGGGTGGGTTGGGGTGGGGTGGGGTGAGGTTGGGTGGTGTTGGGAGGGGTTTGGTGAGGTGGTGTCTGCACCATCTATCTTCACTCCTTTCCCTCGTCCCTCTTCCCTCTTCCTCCTTCTCCCTTACCCCTTTCCCCTTCTCCCTTGCTCATTCCCTGTCCCCCTCATCCCCCTTCCCCATGCTCCCCCTCCCCCTTCCCCGTTGCCCTTCCGCATCCCCCTTCCCCATCCCCTTTCCTCGTGCTTCGTTCTCATCCCCCCTTCCCCCTCCCCTCTTCCCCTTCCCATTTCCCCCTCCCCTTCCCCCGTGCAGCGGCCACCTCACAGCCTTCGCCATTCTGAAACTCCTCCCAGCACGCCCCCCCACGGCCCTCGACACCATGTTCTCCCGGGGCATCGACCCGCTCCTGCTCGACCCCTCCCGATGCCATTCACACCCCGACGTGCCTCCCACATGGCCCACGCGGGCCGAAATCCAGGCGTATGTGCGAGACGCACGCAGGGAGATCATGGTTGCAATGCAGGGTTCAGCAGAGGGAGAGCAGGAGGGGGCGCAAGACGGGGAGAGAGCGGTGAGGGTGACGGCACGGCAGGTGGCTCTAGCAGTGGAGCATGACAGGATGCATATCGAAACTCTCTCCTACATGCAACTGCAGGCCGACAAGCAAGCCTTCCTGGCTTCTCCTCTCCCTCTATCCCCTCCTCCCTCCGATGCTGACCTCCCTTCCCCTTCCTCCACTGCAACCGAACCCGCCTCTCTCCACCCCAACTCGCCGTTTATCCTCGACTCGCCACACCCCCCCGCCGCTACAAAGCTCAACTTGACCTTACTCCGAGAGTCCCTAGCTGGCGATCTAGACGTGCTAATCCCAGCAGGGAAGGTGGCCATGGGAACTGATGTGACTGGCGACAAGGACGGATTCGTGTGGGACAACGAAGGCCCGCCCACCGTCTCCCTGGTGCCTCGGGATTTCCTTGTATCCTCCCGGCCGGTGTCAGTCGCGCAGTTCCGCGCGTTTGTGACGGAACTGAAAGGGTACAAGAGGGAGGAGCTGTGGGAGGAGGAGGACTGGGCTTTCCTTCAGAAGCAGGGGCTTACCTGCCCCGCATCCTGGAGCTTTGTCAAGCGCGTGAGGGGTGGGAGCACGGAGGGGGACGGGAGCGGGGACGAGGACGGTGCGATGATGGCTGAAGAGGAGGGTTGTCCTGATGGGAATGGGGAGAAAGCGGTGGGAGGGGAGGAGGAGGGAGAGTACTGGGTGCACACTCACTTAGGGCTGGGGAAAGGCACTGAAGCGAAGCCGTGGTATGAGGTGGCAGATGCTCCGGTGTGGGTGAGCCTGGCTGAGGCTCAGGCGTTTTGCCGGGCGGCAGGGAGCGAGTACCGGGTGATGAGCGAGGCGGAGTGGCACCAGATTGTTTCCCAGCCGCCGCCGTTCCTCCTGCCCGCTGACTTCATGAGCTTTGATGATGACAATGAAAGCGGTGATGGTAACACCATGGGGAGGGGGAAGACCCATGAGGGTAAGAGACTGGTGGTGACCGGAGCAAAGAAGCAGCACGACAGGAACGGGAAGCTCGATCTCAACTCGGCTGAAGAACCAGTCGTGCCGGCCACAGAAGGGAGCCGTTTAGCAGAGCTGCAGCGGAGCGTGCGGGAGGGAGGATGGGAGTGGACCAGCTCTCCTTTCGAACCATTCCCAGGGTTTGAGAAGATGGAGGAGTATCCTGAGTACTCGTCAGACTTTTTCGATGGTTGCCACTTTGTGCTCAAGGGGTCGTCGCCTGTGACGCACCCGTGCATGGTGCGCGACTCGTTCCGCAACTACTACCAGCGCCAGTACCCGTTTGTCTTTGCCAAGTTCCGCTGCTGCCGGGACGTGGCGAGGAGCGTTGTCTGATGGGGAGGGTGGGTTGTCCATTGGGAGAATCTCCAGAAAATCTGGCCTGTAATTTGTAGTATTTTCCTTTTTCTTCTCCTTTTCTACCCCGCCCCCCCTTCTCAACCATCAAACCTCCTCACCATGATGGGCTCGTTTCCTGTCCCCAACTCCTACTTTGTGCACCTGTCTCCTCCCTACTGCTGTTGTTTCCCTCCCTGCCATATGTATGGTGGGCAACTTCTCAATTTTGTCGAGATTACTAGCAAAATTTTGTCCTGTTTTTATATGAAATTATAATTTTTAAACACACATGTAGTGTTTTTTAAAATTGTGTATTGTGAAAGCGAAGCTGCTTGTACTGCACAATTGGCATCGTCGAAGCGCGCTAAACGCCCTTCTCCAACTACAAAAACCGTGGGTTGGAGCTCATTTCCCTCCACCCACGTTTCTCAATTTTCAAACGGCTCACTCAACATTTCCGCTCGAGTAGTTTTTCCCTCCAAGCTGGCTAGGATTAAATCGCTTCCTAGAGGCGAGTCACCCTCTACTTTACTCAGCGACATTTTCAACTTCAATCGCTCAACGATGGCTCACTTAACAACGGGAACTCGTCAACCCCCGCTTCCGACTCCGACCGTAACGCCCGCGATTCTGCGGGCGAACGCCGTAACAAGCGTCGGGCAGAAGACGGACCGTCCGCCCCGACTGCAGTGGACGTGCTGCTGGGCGGGCTCGAGGTCAACAAAAACGCCGAAACCCAGCAGCACCCTTCGGTCCCTGTGGCGCCAGTGGCGCCTGTGGCGCCAGTGGCACCTGTGGCGCAAGTGGCGACGGGGGCTGGCGCGGCACACGCGACTGACGCCGAGCACACGCCAGCACCCGCTGCTGGACCGTCGCGTCAGCGCCAGAGGAGGCGGACTGCAGTCTCCTCGTCTGACGCGACCGCCGCCCCTGCGCTGACGCAGGCGTTGACCCCGGACCAGGTCAACGCGCTGCTGTCCCTTCTACAGCAGCAACCCGTCAGCGTTACAGCCGCGGAAACTGCACTACCCGCCGCATCTGCGTCGGCTAAAAAAGAAACTGCAAAAAAGGAAAAAGGCACGCGAGGAGCACGGACGAACCGGCATGATAACGACGCAGCGACCGCCGCTCCCCCTGCTCCAGCGGTCGACAACGACACCGACGACTCTGAAGATGAAGCCGGTGAGGCTCCCGTCAACAATGCTAATTTTATTGGCACGGAACACCTCCCCCCCCTCCCTTCTTCTAACCTTACCTTCTCGGCGGCAACCTTCGTCAACGACTCCGTGCGAGAGCAAGCGGAGCTGCTGGAGGACCTGCGGGCGTACCTGCTGCACGCCGAATACAAGGCGCAGCGCGGCGATCCGGCGGGCGGACTCGAACTCATCTCACACGCTCTCAACCTCATCGCGGGGCGTTTCGAGGTGCTTCAAGTGGAGGACGCCTCCGACTTCCGCACGGCGAAGCGCTTCAAGCTGTACCAGCAGAAGAGCCTGCTGACTTCTCGACCCTTCAAGCAGGCAGTCGCGGACATGGCGGCGATGGACCGTGCGGCAAGCGGATACGCTCGTGTCAACCGCGGCGGAAACAACGGGCCGATGCCGTTCTTACCCAAGCGAGGCCCCCCGCCCACGGCCAATTGCCGTGGGTTCCGAGGCTCATGCTTCCGCTGCGGCCAGCCGGGCCACGTGGCAAGTGCCTGCCCTCGGAACGGGCATGGCGGCCAGGGACCCGCTCCGGTGGTGTAGGAGCGGGCCATGGGACTAGGCGCTTGGGCGCTAGGCACGGTGCACTCTTGAGTGCGAAGACCGTGGGCAACCCTAGGGGTTTGCGATGGCAAGAGGCCAGCCCTAGTAAAGGGTGGGATAGGCTTTGGGCCTAGGAGAGGGAAGGGGAACAACAACCCCTCGGTCCCATATGTTTGGCCACTTGGTGGCATGATGCATGCTAGGAAAGCATTGCTATGTGTGTTGGTTGATTTAATAAAAACTACCTTCCTAAAGGCCTATGGTTTTGGCAAAGAGACTATGAAAATCAAGAGGAGGAAGAGAGAGAGAGAGAGAGAGAGCGAGAGAGAGAGAGAGAGAGAGAGAGAGAGAGAGAGAGAGAGAGAGAGAGAGAGAGAGAGAGAGAGAGAGAGAGAGAAGAGAGAATGAGAGAAAGCACAATGGACAACGGTGTCCATGGCCCTAGGCATCAGCCCCCACGCACTAAGGGCAGGCACAACCGTCCTACCAAGTGGACGACGGGACAAAAAAAAAAAAAAAAAAAAAAAAAAAAAAAGAGGAAACGAGGAGAAGAAGAGACATGCGTTGACATGCGTTAACACTCCCGACACATTCGTTGACATTTCATTCAATGGTTAATTCTCGTCACACCTTCGATCAATGGTTGCCCGTACATGTACATGCACACGCATGCTTTAACATGGAATACTCAACCCTTATACCACTTGGCCTCACATGTACAGGAGCACGACGGTGCGAGGCGGCATGCTACGACGATCCGTACGAATTTGCAATTACAGACAGAACTATTACACACATGCGCGGTCGTCTCCGCGCGACATTTGCGTGGTGGAGCTCATGGTGCCCCAGCAGCCTTGTCCTCTCCGTCATCGCCAAGGGTTACTGGTTGCCATGGAGCCACGGCCCACCGCAACATTTCCACGATCGCAATCATGTCGGGGCAAACACGCATGCCACGTTCACACGTACCGCCATCCAAGAACTCATAGAGACGGGAGCGGCAATTCCGATGGCCGCAACGGAGCTTACGTGCATAAGTCCACTCAACGTGGTCGAGCAAAAAGACAAATGCAGGCTCATTCTTGATCTGAGGAAAGTCAATGCCAACTTGATCATCCCCAAGTTCAAGTACGAGGGGCTCAGCCGCGTCGCCGACCTGGCGCGCGTTGGGGACTGGATGTTCTCCATTGACCTCAAATCTGGTTACCACCACATCGACATCCACCCATCGTGCTGGAAGTTCCTTGGCTTTGAATTTGACAAGCGCATACACGCATTCCGTTCACTACCATTCGGCCTCGCGACAGCTCCATTCGTTTTCACGCAGCTCATTAAGCAACTAGCTCGGCGTTGGCGAGAACAAGGCATCCGAGTCGTCCCTTACGTGGACGACATCTTATTTCTCTGCCAGTCGAAAGACGACGCGCAAGCAACTTGCCAGCGGGTGATATTGGATCTTAAAGAGGCAGGCCTTGTGATAAACGCGAAGAAATCACAACTGTCACCATCGCAGCGTCTCAGATTCCTGGGCGTAGAACTTGAGACCGATACCGGCCGATTCTCCATCGGTCCAGACCGACGAGCCTCACTACATGCAACCATCCGGAACCTCCTGAGCGCAAGCAAGGCATGCCGACCAGTCCCGGTCCGCCACGTGGCCAGAATCACTGGCATGCTCGCATCGATGGGTGTCGCACTTGGCGCGACCGCTCGCGCATTCAGCCATGCTATGTTACAAGTGATCAACGACGCACCGTCATGGAAAAGCAGCGTCGTTATCCCCCCATCTGCAGCAGAAGAGCTCCAATTTTGGCTCGAGGAGTTCGACCGTTTCAACGGCGCACCTTTTCACGTCAAGAACAGCTACGACGCGGTAATCCATGTGGATGCCAGCTCTCATGGTTGGGGCGCCACTCTGACCACATTTCCGGGTGGCCTCGAAGAAGCTAGCGCGACCATGTCAGAGCCGCTACGAGGAACGTCTAGCACACGACGGGAGATCGAAGGCGTCCTTTGGGCGCTACAAACGTACGCGAACAAGATCAAGCAAAAACACGTTCTCGTGCGGGTGGACAACCAGGGCGTATTCTTCATCCTTCGCAAAGGCGGCTCTCACAGCCCCGACCTCACAACGGCATGCAAGAGCATCATCCGAACATGCATGGCGCTTGGCACGCGCTTGATCATTGAATGGATTCCGCGCGAGCTCAACACACACGCCGACGAGCTTTCAAAAATGGTCGACCACGACGATTACGCGCTGAAAACGCCGTGGTTCCGGATCTTGGAACGTCGTTGGGGTCCTCACTCCATCGACCTCTTCGCAAACTTCCGCAACACCCAACTGCCGCGATTCTGTTCGAAGATTCCCCACCCGGCAGCCATTGCAGTTGATGCATTCTCGATCGCGTGGACACCTGAAAACAACTTCGCCTTCCCCCCACCTCAACTGATCCCAGCCGTCCTCCATCACGCACAACGCACCCATGCATCACTCACACTGATAGTTCCGCACTGGCCAGGTGCAAGCTGGTGGCCACTCTTGCAACCCTCCCCACGCACTTGGGCACCATACATCCACGCGCACATCCCCCTGACACACGGAAGCCAATGCCTAGACGTAGGGTCCCATTCAACTGCTTTTTCGGGCATGGGACTAGTGCACAGCCCAATCACTGCACTGCGAGTGGCATTTGACTAATTCAAAATATCTACACCTTGTGTTCAGATTTGCTCCCAAAGTTACACGACCAACTGATCAACATGCTCGCGCAGTCCCGCGCCGATTCTACGATCCGGACATATGAACCATACTGGGCCAAGTTTCGAGCCTTCTGCACAAAAGTGAACCTTCCATTCCTTCCGGCATCCGACATGACCCTCGCGCTGTACCTGGTACACGCAATCCGACGCAAAGCCACCCTGTCCGTAGTGCAGCTAACGTGCTCGGCGGTCAGCTTCGCTCATCGCATGACTGGGAGCAAATGCCCGACAACCGGACCGTTCACCACCCAAGTCCGTGACTGTGCAAAACGACACTGCCCTCGCCCTACTCGTCTGAAGGAACCCGTCTCGATCCAACAAGTCCGGGACATGGCCGCGAGTTACTTGCAGTCCGACGATCCTGCGCAATTTCAGAAAGGGTTGATCCCCATCCTCATGTACTCCGGATTTCTGCGATACTCTGACCTAGTAGCCATAAAATGGCAAGACATCCAATTCGACGACGAGGTCATGTGGATTCTCATACCACATTCCAAGACCGATCAAGCTGGTCACGGCACTTGGATACCCATTGCAGCAACGGCGGACCCCTGCTGCCCAGTGCGCTGCACCCGACGCTTCATCCGACTCGCTGGCTATGGTCCACGGTCAGAGGGACCATTGATTCGTGTCTTCGGTCACGGTTCAACCAGCGAGGGCCAGGCTAGGCCACCTTCTTACACTACGATCCGGAACTGGTGCAAGGAAGCCTTCGCAAAGGTTGGCCTTGGAGAGCTGCAGCTAGGCACCCATTCTTTCCGAAAAGGTGCAGCCACAGTAGCAGCCAACACGGGAGTGCCAGATAGAGTCTTCAAACGGCTGGGCAGATGGCGAAGCGACACAGCAAAGGAAATGTATGTTACGCCATACGTCGAGCCTCTTATCGAAGCCTCCCGTACCCTCCAAGATTCGACGCATGCGGTGTCATCGGCACAACACACAGAGGCACTCGTACGCAACCGAAGGCCCCCGCTGCCCATGTCTCAGGGAACCCATTTGTAATGAGAACGATGCCAATTGATAAGAAAGAAAGCAAGCTATTATAATTTTTAAACACACATGTAGTGTTTTTTAAAATTGTGTATTGTGAAAGCGAAGCTGCTTGTACTGCACAATTGGCATCGTCGAAGCGCGCTAAACGCCCTTCTCCAACTACAAAAACCGTGGGTTGGAGCTCATTTCCCTCCACCCACGTTTCTCAATTTTCAAACGGCTCACTCAACATTCCCACCACCCACCCCAGAGTAAACCGCCTTGCTAATGCCACTTGGATAGGGTATATCCTAGCTAGCGTTATTAGTCCGCACTAGCTTGTGTCGAATGATGATACAAATGTTGTAATACGCCATTTGTAATGAGAACGATGCCAATTGATAAGAAAGAAAGCAAGCTTTCTCAATGTAAGTTTTTTACGCTTTTTCGGAGAACCAAACCCCCTCATAGACTCGCCCATCCAAGAACAGCAAGGCTAATTCCTTGGAGTTTTCACGGCACATCCCAGCATTCCCACACAAATACTCTGTCAAGAGATCGTTTTACTAAGAGAATTTCAGTACTAGGAGGGGATATTTCTATCAGTTCGGGATTTCAGCAAGCAATTTCCAGGCTTCCAGTTTTCGTTCCAGCTCCACTCGTTCGCCCCTCTCTTCTACTGGGAATTCTGGCACGGGCTTTCGACGCGCCTCGCAATTCTCGCACCTCCTACTAACCCCGCTCCTCTCGTTCGCGCCTTCCCCGCATGGATGCGCTCGCGGGTTACGGCTCCGACGATGACGTCAGCGACGAGGAGCCCTCGCAGCCGGTCCGCTCATCCGCACCACTAACCGCTTCGACTGCAGCTCCAGACCCTTCCTCTGGTTTTGCCACTACCTCCGCTAAACACGCGGCGACTTCCGTAAGCCGCAACGGGTCTCAGGACGATTCCCCTCCAACCTCGCAGCCGCAGCCGCAGCAGCAGCAGCAGTCAAGGCAGGGCTTAGGTCTGGCGCTGCCGCCCCCATCGTCGAAGCGCGTAATTCTCGGATCGCTTCCGCCGCCGCGTTTCGCAGGTTCCGCTGCCGGTCCGCCCGCTTCTTCCCCTTGGTCCTCCGGGGAAGCGGATGCGGAGGGCGGCGTATTCGCGCCAACTCCCGCCGGCTCGCGCGCGGGTTCTTCCGCCAAAGCAGGTGCGACTGCAGTCGCAGCGCCGGCAGACGGCGAACCGTCAGAAAACGTGACGGACAGTCTCGCGCCCAGCCGGCCGCGATCGGGGCTATTTGCGGCTCTCCCGCCGCCGCGGCTTGCGCAAGGGTCAGCACTAGGGTTGGGGGTCGGCGCGGGTCTTGGGCCGTTTGGAGAGACAAGGGATGAGCCGCTGACGAGCGCGAAGCTCGGGGGACGAGTAGGCGGAGGCCCGAGCGGAGGCGGGGGGGGAGGTGCGGGCGGAAGCGGAACCGGAGGCGGAAGGGGAGGCGGATTTGGCGCGGCTGGTGGCGGAAAGAAAGTGGTTAAGGTTCAGTTGCCGGTGGGATCGTCTCTGTTTTCGTTTAGCGGACAAGGGATTGGGTCGGCGGGGGGGTCAGGCATAGCAGGGCCAGGCGCACGCGCAGGCGGCGCAGGCGCGGGATTGGGCGCAGCAGGCGCGGATTACGGGGAGGATTCGGAGTCGGACGAGGAGGAGCGGGCGCGCAAGACGCGCATACGCGAGCGCAACGCGGCAGCAGCAGCTGCGGCTGCTGGTGGGGGCAAGAGAGGCCTGGCGGCGTTTCTGCCCGCGCCTAAAAACTCCCTGGGCATGGGGGGAGCCATGGGGAGCTCTGGGTCCACGAGACTGGATCTCACAGGGGGGGGGGGGGGGGGAGGGGAGGTGGCGGAGGGGGTGGAGGGGAAGGGGCTGGGGCAGGTGGAGGGAGTAGGACGGTAGAGGCGAAGGGTAGGGTTGTGGGTGGGGAGAGAGCAGGGGAGTTGAGGACGGCTGGTGCTGCTGCTGGCTTGGGTGCAGCGACGGGAGGTGTGGGAGGGGTGGGTGGCGTGGGGTCAAGAATGGGAGTAACGGTTTCTGATTCCGATGAGAGCTCAGATAGTGGTGATGAGGAGGGGTTGGGAGGTGTGGGGATAGAGGGGGCAGGCGTTATGGGAGGTGTGGGGGGAGGGGAAGGTGACACGGAGGCAGGAGCAGGGGAGGCGCACGCGTATTCCCACCCTGTTGCCGAGCCTGCAAACGAGCAGCAGCACTCGTGGGGTGGTGCTTATAGTGAAGGGCATTATAGTGAGGGATACTCCGGGTCTGCCACTGCAGCCCCAGCCCAGAGTTACTATAGCCAAGGTTACTATCAGCCTGAGCACAACCCCTCAGCAGCAGCAACAGCAACAGCAGGGACAGAGGCGCCACACTCAGCGGCGTATGCACAGACGTACCCGGATTCATCTGATCCAAGCGCACATGCACATGCACACGGACATGCGCACGCACATGGGTACGGGTACGGGTACGGGTACGGGTATGGCTACGAGGGCAACCCAGCGGCAGCAAGCTCATCCGGACAGGGAGGAGCAGGCATGGGGGAGTATAGCACAGCGGCACTAGTAGCAGGGGTGGCAGAGGAGGGCTTAGGGCAGGCAGGAGGAGAAGGAGGAGGTCACGCGCTAGGAGCAGAGGGGGAGGACACAGAGGCGCTAGCTCGGATGGCGAGGAAGCGAGGGCGGGGGCGGGAGGCGATGGAGGTGGCAGCGGCAGCGGCGAATGTGGTGGAGGTGAAGCAGGCGGATCTGACCAAGGGCAGGGTGCGGCAGGACCCGATGCGAGCCACTGGGACTGCCTTCGGGCCTTCCTATGCGGTACGTTTGGAGAGCTGTGTGGGGATTGGTGGGGGTTTTGTGCGGGGACTGGTGCGTGACTTTTGTGTTGGGATTTGTGTGTGAGAATTTGTCTTTCATCCTTCCCTCCCTCCCTCCTCTCCCTCCTCTCCCTCCTCTCCCTCCTCTCCCTCCTCTCCCTCCTCTCCCTCCGTCCCTGCATGGCAGCCGGTGTCAGCGGCAGGCAACAAGCCGTCCAAGATGCATCGGCGCAAGCACCAGATCGGCTCGCTCTACTTTGACATGCGGCAGAAGGAGACGGAGCTCGCAGAGCGCCGCTCCAAGGGCATGCTCACCAAGGCCGAGACGCATGCCAAGTACGGCTGGTGATGCATGGGGTGTGGTGGTGGTGGTGCATGGGGTAAGGCGCTTGTGAGGTGATGCGTATAGGGTGATTTACCGGTACATACAGTTGGAGATCCATAATCAGAGAGAGTGTCAGCTGTCCTGCTTTTTCATCCTTCCATGCCTTTCAATCTCTGTTCTGCTTTGTTTGTTCAACCCCTGCCAACCCATCACCCCTTCGTGGTGAGCTTGGAAAACAGAAAGCTTCAGTATCAAATAACCATCCAAATGAATGTCATTTGCGTAGTAAGATATCACATCCTTCTACCACACATTAGCCTACGGCATCTCTTGTGCCTGTCAATCGAATCAGAAAAAAGGAAAAAAAACATTTCCAATTCATACGCTTACTGCGTCCGTCAATAGGGGTAATTGCCGACAGTCAATAGGGGTAATCGCCGACAATATTACCCTGCGGGTAATAATCGCACACCCACAGCGTATTCCCACTCGCCGCGCAATCCACGCGACCGCACCCCACCGACGTCGTTTCTTCCACACCACCTGCGTGTAGTGGGCGCATCCCCCCGCGGAGCACGTGTTGGGATATCTCCCCCGCGTGTAGAACTGGCCCTCATCCACCCACGCCATCTGCGCAATATCCTTGTCTGTGAAGTATCCAGAGGCAGCATAGGCTTGGTTCTGCCCCACGCCGGTCAAGTCGCCGTACTGGACCCACGTACACTGTGTGCTGCTCGCCGCTACTTTCGCCCATTCCTGCGCGCGCAGCGCCACTGCGGGAAGAAGGGGAAAGGAGAAAGGAAGAAGGGGGAGGGAGGGAGAGGAACGAGAAAAGAGAGGGAAGCGGATGGTGAGGGGGAGCTGCGGGAGGTGCGCGGGAGGTGCGCAGGAGATGCGGGGAACATGTGCGGGAGGTGCGCGCGGACGACTAAGGGTCCATTCAACGGCAGGGTGGGAGCGGGAATTGGAGGTTGGCGGCTTACGTGACGCATTCCATACAAGCGGCGCGACGCCGACGGCGCTGCGGGCGGTATTATGCACGCCGAGTATCTGCGTGCAGAACGCGGTGGTGCACGCGTCTGCGCGGGGAGACGGGGGGGAAGAGGAGGGGAGGGGGGGAGGGGAATGGCGGAGCGCGGAGGCAGAGAGAGTATGGGACGACAATGGTGAGGATGAAATGCGAGTCGGGAAAAGAAGACTCGGCGTGCAGTCCGGGTGTGGGAAAGCAGGGAGAAGGAGGTGGAGGGAGAGGAGGGAGAAGAAAGAGAAGAGGAAGAAGAGGGAGACGAGAGGGACTAGGGAGAGAAGGGAGGGGGGAGAGAAGTGGTGAAGAATGAAGCGCGGCCAATCACAAACGCGGATTGCAGGGAAGTGCGACGTCGACGGCGACGACGACTTCCGGGAAGTGTTTCTCGGCTTCCGACTCATCAGGAAGTGTTTCATACGATGACGCCGCAGCACGCAGAGGGAGGCGGCAGGGAACGCGAAATGCAGGAAAGCCACTTAAGACGGCTTGAGGCGGTTGTGCATCCTTGACGCACCTGCGGCGAAGACGGCTGGGATGAGCGCAAGGCAAGTTGCCAGGAGAACAACGCTCCGTTGTACCGCCATGGTGAAAGAACGGCTGTGCTTTTCTGTCGAGTCTAGTAAAGGTATTCCACTCACAGAGTGAGTGAAGTACAAAGGTAGATGGAAGTGACAGCGGCTGTGATGCTGCTCTGGTCGGTGAAAAAGGGGATGCGCTGGCACTACTCGAAAGGTCGCTGGTAGGGGAATCGCTGTCGTAATTGCGAAGGGATCGCAGCTAATCGATTAGCTCGCGAGTGACGAGATGGAACGTGGCGCGGAAAAAATTCTGAGAAACTAGCGCAATTCCAGATCGGGGGAGTCGCTCGCAGCAACCCTCGAAGGTTGCAAAATTGCGGCACCAAGTGCGCCACATGCCGCGCAGCAAAAGTCCCGCAGGGATCACCGCCGCCGTCGGCCCCAAACGCACCGGGCAGGGACCAACATCGGCTGGCGGATTGTGTGTGGGTGGGATGAGGTGAGGAGGTGGAAGTCCCATGCGTTGCGACACGCGGGGGGGGCGCAGACCCCGGCGATATGCGTGGTGGCACCAAGTTACCAACAAATCTGGGAAATGTGGGATGAGGGGAAGTCCCATGCGACATGCACGGGGACAGCAGCCCCCGGCGATTTGCGTGGAGGCACCAAGTTACCAGCAAATCTGGGAATTCGATATCGCACAACAGGTGCCTGAAGAGACTCGCTTTTGAACATTCCTATAAATGATACATCCGCAAAATATTTTGAGTTTACTTCACGAAATATTGAAAGTAATGTATATAATCCTCGTGTCAAGCTTTTGCTAAAACTTTGCGGCTAATGCTAGTATGCCTTCGGTGGTTTGCTGAATCTTTGTGAGGATAGGCTACAAACGTGCCTTCTAGGAGTGTACCATACTATCGAGAATTTGAATATTACACTGAGTACGTCCCTCACTGCCTGCCTGCCTTCCTGCATGCCTCCCATTTCCGTCCAATTCTTCTCTTTGCTAGCTGAGATGGACCTTTGTTCGCTGTCAGATCATATGTTATGTGTGGTAAGCTGGAAATTATGCATCTAATCTAAAAGCTGCATACCTACCGTATCGACTGACAGATTAATGGCATGTACTTTACTATCAGCATGAGCATCCAATACCTAACCATATAGAGGAAACTCTATATACAATTCATTGGCCAGCCTCGTGCCTCCCAAAACAGCCTATGGTAGAGCTTACGTGCACGATATAGAACGCACAGGTGTGTATACGCGACCACGAGCAGTCTCAAGTCACTGTACACCCCGTGTTGATCCAATTTGCCGCTTACTACTTCTGTCAATAAGGGTATTGTCCGATCTGGTTACCAGCAGGGTAGTAATAGCACACCGAAACCGTCCACCCTTCCTGGCAATCCACGTGAGCGCACCCCACGCTCGTCGTGTTCCGCCACACCACCTGCGTGTAGCCGCCGCACTGCATCCCCGGGTTGCAGAAGTTGGGGTACTTTCCGCGCCCGTAGTCTTTGCCCTGGTTCACCCACTCAGCGACCCCGCTGCCGATATTCATCTCAAAAATCCCTATTGATTATACATACCTTTTCTATACTCATTAGTATGTATTTAGGAGGGGTGATTAGGCCTACTATAAAGTAGAAGTTGTCGTACCTTTTTAGTAGGGTCCATTTCCATACGAAAAGGACTAGCTATTTAGTTAGTAAATGTACCTCATTTACATGTTATTTATATTACATTTGTTTTCCCAACATCATGAAACGGCCTCCCGATAGTCATGCATTTTCTGATAAAAAACCATGCATTTGCCTGTCCAATGGTATGGAAACTATGCGAATTTGGGGCTCCAATTTCTAGCTGAAAGTGACCCATATGTTTGTATCCCAAAAGTAACCATTTGTCCATTTTCCCAATATATATAATACATACGCTATATAATACAACACATCTCAGCATGGCACCAATTTGCCCGCCCATATCATCCACATCTACACACTATCCTCCGCATCCTCCCACTCACCCACATCATCCAGGAGATCACGCTCCATGGTGGCATCACTGCTGTTGGAACCCGTCTTCTTCTTCTTGCCTTTCTCGGGCTCCACCTGGGCATATTCGAACAGGAGAGCAACCTCCTTCTTCTCGGCGGCATCGGGGTCAGCCCCATCGGGAACAAGGTCGGGGAAGCCGCTGCCCGAGATCACCACGGTCTCAGTGGGTCCAAACACCCACCCCTGATACTGCTCCGACCATGCAGGAAGCTGGTCATCCGGGGACTCCTCGAGGGTCTTGCGAATGGCAGCCTTCACCTTGCGGTGGTAGCTGGCAATGTCAGCTGCATTGACAATCCGCATCCGTTGGAATGCGTTTGCCACGAGCCTTGTGGTGCACGACTGAATATTCAACCTGTTACAACAAGGGAGTGAGGATTGAAGGGGAAATATAGTGTTGTTTAGGCAATCTGGACATGGCAGCCAAGTGGGAGGTGATAGAGCACATAAGGCATGCGATGACACCTCCACTGTATGGAGTGCACCACGCTGGGCAAGGAATCAACGCCCTACAAGCTTCTGCCAGTGTGGCTGGAAACGAGTAAGGTGGCAGGGGAAACAGGAAGGGTGCGATTGGTTGACATGAGGGTCGGAGGGAAGATGGTTGGAAGGAAGATGGGGCGACCAACTGGCTATGCAAGGCAATTTTCAAAGCAAACAATCTTACAGCTATACAACATAGGAAACTAAGTGCTAGCACATGTGCAAACGTAAAAAATCCGCTCATACGTACCAGATACAGCAGATAGGCGATGTGGTACGCCTTCACCACCGTAGCCGACCCGCCAGCTCCCTTCTGAAAGGCGTTGCGGACGATGATGTCGAAGAGCACAGTGCCAAACGGGCGCATCGTGCCGTCAGCAAAGTGCCAGCGAAGAAGCCCTCCCTTTTCTGCTCAACACGTACATATTTAAACAATGGAAACAAACATGCAGTCATTAGTTACATGGAACGATGGGTACTGTCATAACCAAGGGTATGCCAAGAACATACGACTAAACAGCACCATGCGTAACAGCTGTGGTTACCAATGCTCACGAACAGCACTTACCAAGAGGCTTGACCAGTGGTGTACCATCCTCGCTCGCCAAGTTGTATACTTGGGTCGGTGTGCGCTCCTCATCACAAATCAGCTCGGTGTAATCGAATTTCAAACGGGGATTCGCTTCGCAAACTAGCCCAAAAGCATCAGAAAAATTCCGGCGCCCATTCATCGAGATCCGCGCACGCCAATCACTCTGCTTGCGCGTTGAAGCGCGTGCCTGCGCCACGCAGTACATCATGACTGCTGCCAGCGCGGCAGCCTTGCTCTTGCCCCAAACACCGATGAGGCACCGCATCACCACACTTTCTGACGGGTACACGCTTGTAACGTCGTCCGGTTGGCGAAAGAACGCCACAACCACAGCTAGCTATCCTTGCGACTACCCGGAAAGCTGCAAGGTGACAAGCACATTCCAGCACGGTAGCAACCGGCCGTGCTCTATGTGTTATGCGTTGGGTGCCGAGTGCGACAACTTGACAAAAAAATTCAAGTCGAGGAACCCAAAGGAGCAACGATTTCTGATGGGTAAATACAAGATGTTATACCAAGCAGGGAAGACTTTGGCTAAGGATTATGCCGCGCTTTGGGCTTCATTCCCTTTTCACGTACGTCCACTGCCTTCCCTAATCTCTTTTTTAGTGGTGTCCTGTGACTATGTTTGTCAAGTTTCTACCTGACCAAGAAACCCAAACCCCACTGCAGACATTCATTTGGGACTTCAAATACGCCGACACACCATGGGGTAACCCATACCTGGCGCTCATGCCTGATGTCCTTCACCAGGCGGATGTTGGGGTGTGGACGCACATCCGTGACGCCATAGCAACACTCCCCAACGCAAAAAACGGCATGCTTGATGAGTGAGTGTTGTAAGGAATTTGATTTTCCTTATGTTCTTCATATGCATGTTCGGGTTTCTACCTTGGTTGCCACTCTTCATGTGATATTTTGATTCATAGCATTCCGTCCCTTCTGTCGCTTGGGTTCACAAATGTTTAGTTTCTTCATTCCAGGGTAGGATTGCCATGATCCGACCCTGCCTTGATATCAAGCAGTGCCTCTTGTGTTTTGCAAAGGCATGGCCGGCTTGCAACGGATGCTTATTTGATTTGCTCTGTTTTGCTGCAGTGTTAGCCTTGCTCATTCATTCTTTGTCCTATTTCCCCCCATTCTCCCCCTCCCCCCTTACCCCCAAGGCGCATGAAATGGCTTTGGAAGCATGGCCGCATTGCTGGTCTAAATCTTCCCAGGAACGTACTTTCAGTCGGGTGCCCGTGTCTCTGCGGCTGAGCACCGAGCCGTGATGCAAGTTTCCATTTTCATACTTGAAGGCCTTGTTGATGATATACACTTGAAAGCAGTGCAAGCGTTCCTCCGTTGGTACAAGGCAACCTTTCGTCCTCGTTACCACACGGATGAAAGCCTCGCCAATGTGGAGCGCCTCTCCCACATGTAAGTGGCCCCAATCCTCTCATGTTTTGTTACCGTGTTATGTTTTTTGGTCAATCCTGGATCCTCCTGTCAGTCTATATCCTTATCCCCCCTTCATGCACCTCTATATCCTATGCGTGTGTGTCTTTGTTTTGATTCAAAAGATCCATACTTATCTGTAGAGCTCGGATTGGAGTGTGGAGGTAAGTCCAGAGGGGTATGTGAGCTCGGATTGAGTGTGGAGGTAAGTTCAGAGGGGTATGTGAGCTCGGATTGGAGTGTGGAGGTAAGTCCAGAGGGGTATGTGATCTCGGATTAAAGTGTGGAGGTAAGTCCAGAGTGGTATGTGAGCTCGGATCTGAGTGTGTAGGTAAGTCCAGAGGGGTATGTGAGCTCGGGTTGGAGTGTGGAGGTAAGTCCAGAGGGGTATGTGATCTCGGATTGGAGTGTGGAGGTAAGTCCAGAGGGGTATGTGATCTCGGATTGGAGTGTGGAGGTAAGTCCAGAGGGGTATGTGATCTCCGATTGGAGTGTGGAGGTAAGTCCAGAGTGGTATGTGAGCTCGGATCTGAGTGTGTAGGTAAGTCCAGAGTGGATTGTGTGTGTAGGGCAGATATTGTTTCTCTCAACGGCCATCATCATCCCTTCTCTCCCCCCAGGATGATCGACAAACTTAAGGGTGCATTCCCAACACAGGCATCTCTCTGGAAGGTTGTGAAAGTGCACATGGTAGTGCACTATGCCGATGCCATTCGAAGGGGTGGCTTGCCGGAGGAGTATTCCACTAACATGTACGAACACTTCCACAAAATCACCGTGAAACGGCCATACCGGGCATCAAATCGAAGGCAATGGACAGAGTCCATCATCAAGAGCAACCAATTCCTCCACATGCTAGCTCAGGTCGAAAGTGACATAAAGGAGGAGAGAGACTACAACTGCGCGTTCTACGAGGTATGTGTGTTGTGGCGATTTTTGGAGGGAGCGGTGCTACGATATAGATTGATGTTTGTGTCTCGCCACCACCAGGCACATACTCATTTCCTACCCCACCATGCCACAGGCTGAAACCACTTCAAAACGTGTTTTTCTGAGGACACATGTGGTCATGCACATGGCTGCAAGCAAGCATCGCCGAGGCAACACTGACCAATTCGCATTGTACAACGCTGCTGTTGGTGGCCGCCTCGACACGTTGGAGACGGACCTTGGTACAGCAGGCATCTCAGCAGCCACCCTCCATGTGAGTAATCCTGGATACTCATCCGTACACTCCCTCCCATCCCCCCTTCCCTCCTCGCACATTCCCCTCTCCTCTCTGGCCCGCCACACTCCCTCCCATCCCCCCTTCCCTCCTCGCACATTCCCCTCTCCACTCTGGCCCGCCACACTCCCTCCCATCCCCCCTTCCCTCCTCGCCCATTCCCCTCTCCTCTCTGGCCCGCCACACTCCCTCCCATCCCCCCTTCCCTCCTCGCCCATTCCCCTCTCCTCTCTGGCCCGCCACACTCCCTCCCATCCCCCCTTCCCTCCTCGCCCATTCCCCTCTCCTCTCTGGCCCGCCACACTCCCTCCCATCCCCCCTTCCCTCCTCGCCCATTCCCCTCTCCTCTCTGGCCCGCCACACTCCCTCCCATCCCCCCTTCCCTCCTCGCCCATTCCCTTCTCCTCTCTGGCCCGCCACACTCCCTCTCATCCCCCCTTCCCTCCTCGCACATTCCCCTCTCCTCTCTGGCCCGCCACACTCCTTCCCATCCCCCCTTCCCTCCTCGCACATTCCCCTCTCCTCTCTGGCCCGCCACACTCCCTCCCATCCCCCCTTCCCTCCTCGCACATTCCCCTCTCCTCTCTGGCCCGCCACACTCCCTCCCATCCCCCCTTCCCTCCTCGCCCATTCCCCTCTCCTCTCTGGCCCGCCACACTCCCTCCCATCCCCCCTTCCCTCCTCGCCCATTCCCCTCTCCTCTCTGGCCCGCCACACTCCCTCCCATCCCCCCTTCCCTCCTCGCACATTCCCCTCTCCTCTCTGGCCCACCACACTCCCTCCCATCCCCCCTTCCCTCCTCGCACATTCCCCTCTCCTCTCTGGCCCGCCACACTCCCTCCCATCCCCCCTTCCCTTCTCGCACATTCCCCTCTCCTCTCTGGCCCGCCACACTCCCTCCCATCCCCCCTTCCCTCCTCTAACACTTCTGTCTCCTCTCTGGCTGCACCACCCCCACCTGCAGGTCTACACCGGCGTGGCGATTCCAGGCGGCCCTCAAGAGTACCACTCCAGGGTCACTCACTTCATTCGTGCAAACCCGTCACACCACGGCAACCCGTGGTTCTCCCATGTGGCCATTAGTGGAGGGGAGGAGGTGTGGTACGCTGAGGTACTTCTCCTCTTTAAGCACGCTCAGAGCGACAAGGGTTTTGCCTATGTTCAGTACTATCAGGTGGTTGGTAATGATGATGCTACTGGTTGCAAGCGCCTGGAGTGGGCTAAGTACCCAGGTAAGCAGAGCTTGTACCGTGATGTCGTGGAGGTGGACTCGGTGTTCCGTGCCGTCCACATTGTCGAGTCGTTTGAGCGTCAGGCTGTTTTTTTCTCAACGATTATTTGTTTGACTAGATGCGACTTTACTATGACATATTCATGACATCTATCGCCAAGTTATATTGGTTTGCTTCCAAAGATACAAAATTGTTTGAACAAAGTCATGCAGGTCAGAAAATTAACACTTATTGAAGAATTATATGAAAAAAATATTATATCACATGTTTCTGAAATTCGAAAACATATCGAAAATGTATTGTATGCAGTCTGGTAGCTTTTTACCAACCAAACGAGTCAGCGATTTCAACCACTATTCGACGAACGGAAAAAACCCTACTGGAACCGGGTCCCCAATTTTTGCGATGTTACAGCAACCCGCGAATACGTTCTGCCCTAGGCCTGTGTTATGGTCGCACATGATCGCTCTGCACCGGAATCCATTCCTCAGTGTAGTCGCCCATCCAAGCGCCCGCTGTTCCACTGCCGGTAGTAGAAGGGAAAAGGAGATAGGGGGAAGGGGGAGGTGAGGGGAGAGAGGGAGGCCCGGGGGGGGAAGGGGGGGCACGAGAAAGGAGAGGAAAGCGGAGGAGATGGTGTAAGGGGGCAGGCGAAGTGTGCGCAGTGCATCGCAAAAATTCTGAGGCTGTTGTGAATGGGATGGCCTATCGAGCCACTTTTGTGGAAGGTTTCCAGTCGTCATAAACTGCTGTACACATCTCCCACCGGGGTTTGGGGGGAACTTGGCAATTTTGCAACCACAATCAACCCTGTTTTGCCCATTCGACGTGCAAGAATGTGTTTTAGGTTGCTTCGTGGAATGTGCATACCTTTGATCCACGGATGACATTCCAAGCGATTTACTCAATGGTCTAGATCGTGTCTGAGATTCATTCTGTTTTTGGCGTAGCACTTCGTGTCGCATTTGCTTCGGTGAGTTGGATGCTTGAACTTTTTTTCATTGTTGTGAGACGTTCGATGTTTCGAAGATCTACGGCTCACATTTTCTGATCAGTGTGGAGCTTCGAACATGGCCATTTTCAGGAGGGACTAGTTACGTGCCTGTGGTTCATTCCGTTTTTTCGGCAGCGCGAATGTTCTGGCACAGCCCAAACGACTCTGACGAGATTCCTGTTGTGGTAACGCTGGGAAAAATTTCGGCGACACGCACATGCGAAAGGTGTTCCGGAACGTTGGTGAACGATTTCTGCGTGGGGCCTGTGAACTGAATTGCCAAGCAAATCAACAGTGTTTCTTTCCAACTAAATATTGTTACAACAGGAGTCTAAATTGCAGATCAGCACATAAATCTTGATCACTTGATTACTCTTTCTTGTTTCTTAATAAGGCCAAGAATGATGACCTTAATCATCTACGTATGTTTATTCAATGTTAAATTAGCACAAGAATCTGGTGGACACAACGAGGCGCCAAGAATCTTAGAAGAACAACAGTCTTATAGTACAGCATTCCTTACCTCATGCTTTATCACCGTATACAGGAGAAGGTAAGGCCACTGCTGCATTCTCTTCGAGGTTACATGTGGATTCTGAACCATGATACATGTATAAGTACAGTAATATGACTATTCCGGTACCTACTGTTACCTACGTACTGTTATAGTAAAAAGGCATGTACATTCCCTTATTATAACTGATTTACATGCATTTCTTCAGTGACCGTCTCTTGCACTTCTCTCTAATATCGAGTCGCTGCGTGTAACTGTCTAGACAGTTATGCCTGTTGGAATTCTTCGTTAGTGAGTCCTCTGTCCAGATGGTCAACAGTCGCGACAGTAGACCTTTGCGATTGTTGTCCTTCCAGCCCTAGTATGGGCTGATCTGATACTGTTGCTAGCGCTGCTTCGATAGTGACGGCTACGGTATAGTTGCACCTACGGGAATACTAAAGTCAATATCTCTTGTCAAAGAGCGCTGGTCGAAGAACTCTCGTCGAAGAGTTCTGGTCGAGAAGCTCTGCGCGGCGAACGCTGTTCAACTGAGCAGAGTCAAGCTGATCGACCGAAGTTGCAGAGTTGTGCGAAACTCTGCGGAGGCATGCAAACTTTTGCCCATGAGATTTTGGCGAAGTTCTACCTGCGGAATGACATCACGCGGTTGACGGTGCGCACCTGGCAAAACCGATGACACATTCCTACCTGGCACCTGCGCATTGTGCTTGACGGTGAAACCGCCAACCTGCACCTACTTGGTAGGTGCGCACATCTGCGCAGATAGACAACCTGCGACTGCAGAAAGTTACCAGCGACTGCAGATAGTCACCTGCGACTGCAGTGTTGGCATAGCGCGCGCAGTGCAACACTGACAGACAACTCTGCCGCAGCGTTGGCAAGCCGCTCTTCTGCTGCGCTAGAAGATTTCGCCCTTGCTAGGTGTTGCATGCCATTCTAGTCATATCCTTCTGCATGCCTTAAATGTAATCTATTCTTTCCTATCAACTTTGTATTTGCAAGTTGTTCCTTCAACTTTCCTTAGTGGATTTTTTGCCAAACTTTTTTGTGAACACAGCAAGTAGTAAGAACGCTAGCAGAGTGCTAAGAACGTTAATAGAGCGCTACGATCACCTCGGAACAAATGCTTGTTAGTAAATGCTGTAGATGATTCAATGAAATTCTAACATAAATGACATAACAAATTCTATATAACAACTATGAAGTCACATCATTCAATATGTTTGGGGCAAAAAGTATGGATGTTGGTAGAAAATCTTAGATACTCTTTCTGCTAGTGAGATTGTAACGAAACGAAGTTATGCTGTATTTAGGTGTAGTTAGTAATATGAATCTGCCCAAAAAGCCGACTATGCTTTCATTGGAGGATTTCTTTCTCACGATTATCTTCACACACCTTGAACGCATTTTTGACGAATGAAGTGTGTCTTCGTTGCTGATGTGGCGAACGGGATCGAAAAGATTCCCTCCCACCACCTTTCGTGTCGCGCCCAGAATTCTGTGGTGGGAGGGAGTCTTTTCGAGTGGTGGTGGCAGTTTTCCTGGGGCGCGCCAGACACCACATACCAGTTACAGGCGTCAAGTCGCGATCTGCTATGATTTTCGAACAGGCTGTCGAGTGCGATCCCTGCCAATCCCAACCAACCGAAGCCATCGAGCGCACCCTCCCACTCTCTCCACCTTCTCCCCACCCCCCCCCCAACCTCCTACAAGCCAGCAACCTACCTGTCTCGCCCAACTAACTCATCTTCAAAGCATTGATCGAGTGCTCTTGTCATTTCATCTTTCCTCTCCAATTCTCCCTTGGCTTTTCAGTTCACCCGGTTTCTTTAGTTGCTCCGTCAGAATAAATCTAGTTGGTCGTTAGTGCGAAGTCTAGTTCACAGATCGAACACTTCTGACGCAGTTAATGCCGGCTGTCTGTCGCAGAGCTTCTGGCGTTCGTGTCTTCTCTCGCGTTTTCTTCTTTCACGCCTGTTTGAATACTACGCTGTTTGTTGGAGAGATTACGACGCTCGTATAGTTCGTCCCTGTTTCTGTGTTTCTTGCTGTCCTTGTCTTACGCTGTCTATTGGAGCCCTTCTTGCGTTCACGTTCTTTTTCGTCTTTCCTTTATTTCTCACTGATTGTTTGATTCGTGTTGCAGGTGCTATATTGTTAGCAGGGAATGCATGCATCTGGCTCTGTTTGGCTAACTGAGGGATCGCAGAATTATCACTACGTCACGTAAGTGTTGTTTCAGGCTTTAAGCTTTTTTCTAACGTGACATTGCTTTCTCTCTGCAGGTGGATCAATATATGATTTCAAGTGCAAGACTTGTGTAGTTCAGTGTGTAGCCTCAATTGTCGAATAATCTAGTATCTGCAATTTTGAACATGTAAATGTTTTTTTAAATATATCGAATTTCGCAACGAGGTTCCCAAAACAACGTTGTAGCACAAAAAACATGAATGGAAGTCCAAAATGGACGCTACGCATTCCACCCTCATTTACATGCACAGTATAAATGTATATTTATATTAAGGACTATAAATGCTTCTACCATTTAGTTCCATTTGCAGGCAGAAAATACATGCATGTATATACTCCTCAAATATATGACCAGGCAATGTACGGCCATTTCTTAACGGGTCATGAATAGCTGTTCCAGTCAATGTACAGCCGGGCAATTTACGGGCCCCAAACGCCTACGAACCAGCCTGTATACAGCCCGCTAATTCCTAGCCATAAACCCGCCATATGCATGGCGATTATGGCTGTAAATTGCCATTTTCATGAGTCACTTTTTTGAGATGTGTGCGGGGGATTTGGGGCGCTACTGCGACGAAGGGTTTATTTGGCGGGTACGAGGGGATGCGCAAGTGGTAGTAAAGCAGCTTACATGACGTATTCCATTTGAGCGGCCCGACGCCGACGGCAGACCGAGCGAGATTATGCGCGCTGAGGTCCGGGAGCTTCATTGTCCTCCCGGCGACCTCTGGCGGGGAGGAAACGCGGGAACGGGGGTAAGGGTGGCCGGGAACGGGGGAGCAGAGTGGGGGAAATGAAGTGACACGGCGTGGTGCAACATCGGAGAAGGGAACAAGCGAGCACTAGGTCGAGTCGGAGATGTGATAGTTAGACAACCGCCTCGAATCGGGGTCGTCGTCTCGCTGCCAGTGGACGCACCCGGGAGGAAGGCTGGGATGATCGTCATGATGCAAGTTGCCAAGAGAACAGCTCTCCATTGAGGTTGTACCTCCATCGTGAGGAAGCGGCTCTGCCTCGCCATTCAGAACCTTTGTTTTGAAGTAATTCCACTGGATGAAATGAATGCAGAGGATATTGATGGTTCCTGCTG